CTTTACTCTCTTTGTAAAATTTTTTTGCACCACAATATGAACAAATTGTTGGTTGTATGAGAATATGGGATGTAGTTGGAATATTTTGCAACTGAAAGTTTGTAGTTTGATTATTATTCTTTACACTATCATTAGGTCTCCATCGATTGTTCTGACGATGTGATGTAGATAATATAGCAGGAGAAGATACACTATGACTACAGCCAGCAACTACAATAAAATAGATTGTTGTTACCATTGGGAAATATAAATAAGCTTTTTTTGTAAGACATGCTATCAAAACATATGTGAAAGTGCATAATTAACAAAAATAAAATCCAAATAGAAGTGAATTGTTGAAGATTGCAAAGCATCTTAATGTAAAGCACTATCCATATAACGCTAAACTTTAAGGAAATGTGAATAATGCTTTTCAGTTTAAAGATTTGTTTTGATTAAAAAATAGGCAACTATATGTGATAAATAAGGGAACGAAAATAAACATGAAGAGTAAAACATTATACAAATTCACAGACATAAATATGTTAGACTGTAATAAGTTAAATGTGCAGTGAATTAAGAAAGTAAAATAAAATGGAAAAAGAGAAGAAACAACAGGAATAAACAAAATTACTTAAAAATATCGTAAGCAATGATGTACAGAGGAAAAAATATGAAGAAATAGCAAATAGATACCATCTTTACTAAATATATATGAAATGATTTGTGATGAAGGTCTACTATAACTCAATTGTATACGAATACCTTCTTCTATTCTTATTTGTGGCTGATAATGATTATGTCTAGCTACAAATGATCTTCTTCGAGCATTTAGGCATTGTCGTCGTGTATGACGGGCTTGTGCGCATAATTGCCTGCGAGAACTTGGAAATTGTTCTACTGCACCAGAAATCTCTCTGGGCGCTTTTTTGCATTACTACTCTCCATACGATTCATGAAGAAAATAACTGAATACAGAGGGAAGGCAAAAGGAGAAAAATATATAAAAATAAGTATTTCACTCTATATATTTCATTAAATGTGATATGCTTAACACAATTTCTAAGGCATAAACTGAATTTGTAATTCAAAGAATAAACAATGGTGGAGTAAATCGAAAGAGACTACTTCAATGTTAATTATGGATTTCATGATTTCACGCCATCAATTTTACTGTAATATAATATATTTTTTTAACAATAAACATAACACGAATTGTGCATAGTAGGTATTTGAAAGCCTAATCTCTATATAACAAACACCAATTAAATAAGTGGCTACAAAACATTTGTTTACCCTTAAAAAATAAGAAATGGCTTCCTCCAATTATGGAGGAAAATATTCTTCATCAGATTTGTTTTTCATTAAATCGGACATACTCACCACAATTTCTAAAGTATGGACTAAATCTGTAATTGGAAGAACAAAATATAACGAATGGATTGGAAGAAACTAATTTAATGTGATTTGACTTCATCCAAGCTTGTAGGCATGGAGAAACCAAGCTTGGATACAGGGATTTCTCATTGCCTCCAAAGATGGAGGCAACAAAGAAGGAATTTCAAAGCTTCAAGTTTGCTCTTGTTTTTGCATTGGAATTTCATTTGCCCTTGAAGTTTTACAATTTATTTGCTTACATAAACTTACATTTGGTTTCAAATCTTATCTATATGTCATCAACTACATTCAATTTTCAAATCAATTAATGCAAAGGTGGAAGTACATACTTAACAGAGGAATTTCTCCATGCTTCGATCCAAGTACGGAGGCATGGACAAATTCCTCCGTCCACATGGTAAAATTCCTTGGACTGAGGAATTTCTCCATGCCTCCGTCCAAGTACGGAAGCATGGAGAAATTCTTAGACGGAGGAGCTTCCATAAATATAGGTAGACAGTCTATCAAGCATGATCTTCCTGAAGTCTGCATATCTCAAAGGTTTTATTACCTGTTTTACATAAAATGCCACTAAATTTGCAGATAAAAATGTGCTTCTGTGACAAGTTCCCGTTGGTAATCTCTCTCTTTGTCTCCTCTTCAATCACTCTCTTCAAGGAATCACTGATTATCACCAAAAGGCCAAGGTACAGATATATGAGAGTGCGGATCCTGTACACAATTAGAGTGCAGCATATAACCACGAGTAACCAAGGACTCGCTAATTCAATTAGGGAGTACATATTCATCACTCAAAAACCACAATTTGCCTTTGATTGTAACAGGCCCTACTCACTATATTTCAGCTAACACTCTTATTCTCGCATCACAAGAATCCCTATCTCTGGCTCACAAATTTACACTTTAGCTTTTAATCAACAAATGAAAATTAATCTAGATAACAAAAACATATATTTTCTCAAGATCTCATTTCAAGAAGAAGAACAGCGGACATGGAAGTACAAATCAACATTACTGAACTATCAACTTAAATTTAATCCAATAGATCTAACGGACGGCATATATTAAATCATTTTTACCTGAAGACCAGCACGAGCTCACCGAAAAATCGGCGCCTTTTTCTTGTCTTTCTCGTTTCAAGAATCCGACGACGTCTCACAGAGACACCTTGTGCGGTTGAGGAAAACAGCAAAATTGCTAGGGTTCAAGTTAGGCAAAACACGAGCAGCAGAAGGCAAGGGAATGAGGAGAAGCCGAAGAGGTTCAAGAGTTTCGATAAGGTGTGAAGAAGGCGGTGGTCAACAGGATTTTTTTAAGCCAAACGACGTCGTTTTGGGAAGGATACCTAGAGTTAGGACACGTGGCAGAACAAAACTCCCTCTTTTATGTAGTTAGGATCAGGATATGTGCATTTGTAGCGTGGAATTGCTATATCGCCATTCACAATCCATTCTTTTTGCTCTATATTGCTTACTACTAATTTATGCAGGACATTGATGGGCTACATGAGGAAATGAATTAGAATCCCTAAATCTATGGAGTTCACCAATTTTATAGCAATATAAAATAAGCAAATTTACAATTTACAATGCAACGACACTATCATAAATTAGGGTGCTGCCATGATTTATTTTCTTAATATGCCCCGCGAGATAGTGTCATCGGGGACTCTGATCTTGGAACAAAGAAGTGTGACACGAGACTTAACCAAGGGTTTGATGAGAACATTAGCGAGTTGGTTGTGAGTGTAAATAAGAGGACTTGTAATGAACCATTGACAACTTATCCTAGAACAAAATGATAATCAAGTGCAATGTATTTCATCCGAGAGTAGAAGGCCAGATTGGCACAAAGATAGGTTGCACCAATGTTGTCACAAAAGAGGCGAGGAGGCTGTCGACATGGCATCCCTAACTCGTCAAGCAATTTACAAATTCATGAGATTTCAGCTGCGATAGAAGCAGCAAAACGTTACTCGACTTCAGTAGATGAACGGGCAACTATACGTTACTTTTTAGAGCACCACGAAATAGGGTTAGAGCCAAGAAAGACAACATAGGTGGAGGGATGTGCAAACATCAAGATTACAGCTCAATCAGCATGAGGGTAGGCAATGAGAAGTAGAGGTTGAGATCAATGAAAAGTAAAGACCATAAGAAATAGTGTTCTCGAGGTATCGGAGAAGGCGTTTGGCTGTTGTCTAATGAGCTTGTGTGGAGGCATGCATAAATTGAGTAAGCTTGTTGACAATGTAGGCAATATTTGGTCGTGGAAGAGATAGATCCTGCATTCCGCTAACTAAGAGTTAACTGTGTGGAGGTACTCATGGGTGTGTTAGTCTTTTTCAAGCCTTCCTCAAGGTATCGTTCAAGGTCACAAAATGTATTCGTGTTGAGTAAGAAGTTGGATTGACTTCAATGCCCAATAAATAGTGTATGTATCCCAAATCTTTGATTGAGAACCTATGGTAGAGCTTTATTGACTGTATGAACAAGAGCTCCAGAGTTTCCTATAATCTGTACAATTATGCTTCTTACATATCAATGGTTGACATCAACTTTGACACCCCGTATGTGGAGAAATCATGACCATTGATTGAAAAAAATATCGTTGAAATCAATGGATAAAGATTTGTCAAGTCACACAATATCAAAAAAGCTATCAAACTTGATGTTAATATAGCATGATTGTGCCCTCGGGGCACAGCTAAACTGGCGGAACAATCAGCACACAACTCTCTTCTAACGACAGGGTGGGGATTCGAATCTTGGTGGTAACTTGTGGCCAGATTTACTTGGTATAGAGCAATCACTTTGGAGGATGATCTTTTGTGCGCAGAAGTGCACAAGTGGTGTGGGGAACCTAGTAATCAATTGAGGCATATCCCTTGATTTACC